ATGGGCCGGGCGGTGGTGGCGCACACCTTTAATCCCAGCACTTGAGAGGCAGAGGCAGGCGGATTTCTGAGTTTGAGGCTAGCCTGGTCTACAGAGTGAGTTCCAGGACAGCCCGGGCTACACAGAGAAATCCTGTCTTGAAAAACAAAAAACAAAAACAAAGAAACAAAAAAAGATCATTAGTCCATATATATATATATACACAAATGCTCACACTGGTTTTCATTTTTTAATGCTTAAAAACATGTATTCCATGTATTAAACCTTAAAAAAAGATTTCAAACAATTCTATGTGTAGGGAGTGTTTTTGCTTGAACTTTATGTATGTGCATTGAATACATGCAGTGCTTACTGAGGCCAGAAGGGGGCATCCAAACCTCTGGAACTGGAGTTACAGATCACGGTGAGCCGTCCTGTTGGTGTTGGGAACTGAACTGGGTCTTCTCCAAGGGTTGTAAATGTTCTTAAGCAGTAATCCATCTCTCCACACCTTGTTTGCTCTGTTTTTGTTTTGGAGACAAGGATGGTCTGTGTAGCCCTGGTTGTCCTGGAATTCACTCTTGTAGACCAGGCTAATCTTGAACTCAGAGATCCAACTGTGTACTGCTATGCCTGGCTTGCTTTTTTTTTTTTTTTTTTTTTTTTGAGATGTAGTTTCATTATGTAGTCCGAGTTGTCTTAGAATGTGTCATTTTTCCTCTTTTGGCTTCAAGATACAAGGAAAATCTTCACAAACTGCACAAATACCAGTATTGTCCAGCCCATCTTTCCTGGACAGGAGGAAATCATTAATAGCTAGCCCACAAATATATAGGCTACATTTGAAAATGTAAATAAGCATATTCCTGTAAACCCGGAGCCAAAAATACAACAGAAAATTTAAAAATGAAATAAAAATATTACATATCAACACTATAACTCAAGTGGTAAGTGGAAATTAACCGTGCTGAATGTTTGTGAAGAACTTAGAAAAAAAAATGAAGCACTGGAAATGAATCAGATAAATATCCAGCTCAGTGAGTTTAGCAAAACTAAAAAGCAATGTAGAGAAAATCAAGATACCATAAAATGAAAGAGCTGAGGAAACCCAACGAACTTGGAGGCTGACGTACTGACGGTGAGTTTGAGGAAGCCTGGGATACATAGCAAGACTCTCATCTCAAACAACTGACTCTTAAGAGATTATTCTTCCTAGAAAAAGAAAAATCAGACTCAAGATGAGATGGAATATGAATATACCTTTAGATATTACATAATCAAGGGTAATAAACACATACATGCACACACACACACACACACTCACACAGACACACAGTGGGCTCTAGACAGTCAATTGTAGTCAGTCAATTTATAAGCACTCAGAATTTCACCTACTCCACAGCGAGGAGGTCTGAGCTGAAATTGGGTGTAATCTTCTAGATGATAGTTTAATCTCCAGCTTACTTATGTACAAATGCACTATGTACAAGCGCTTGGACACAGCAGAACCAGAGAGGCTAACAAGACCTGTTTCTACAGGGAGCCCACCTTCTGGCAGGGAAAAGACAGATGCTAAGCAACCAAAAAAAAAAAAAAAATCACAGTGCTTTGAAAGACAATGGCAGTTTTACAAAAGAGAAACCAAATCAGCTCCGAAGAGAGCAATCAGCAAAGAAGCCTGGGGTGAGGTGGGTTCACAGAGAGAGAGATGCAGCCTGGGAGAGGAAGGCATCTAGGAGATGGTCTGGGTGAGCTGAGTAACAGGAGAGAGAAGGCTGTCTGCAGGAATGATGGATGGAAGGAAGAGATACCCACGGATGTGGAAGACAGGCAAATTACCTTAGCAAGCAGAGGAGCCTACAGGCCAAGCAAGGTCAACCGGAGGGCCAGTGGATACGGATGGAAGTATGGATCACAGGCCAGAGTAGACTTAGGATGTGGAAGGGCTGAGCATGGAGACTGTCACTGGAGATTTTGGGTCTCCGGGGGATGCTTAAGCAGTAGACCCTTGGCAGTGGCCCGGGGAGCAGCTGCAGGAGCAGTGGGCTGAGGAGACCGTTGTATATTTGCTTCCAATCCTATCCACATGCCATGCACTGTTCTGGATGCGCTAGTCACAGAGCTCTCTCCACCCCCAAGTCTTTTGAAGCTGTGTAGCCGAAAGTGCACCAGGAGGTGGGGAAGAAGTGTGGATAGTCAAAATAAGATCTTTCCAGAATTTTGGCCCTGGTGATAGGAAGGAATAAGCCAACCTCCCTGGTATTTGAAGGTAGAACCAAGGCAGTGTCACTTTGCTGGGGAGATGGGGGTCTGATGGGTCTGAGGGAGGACAGCGGGGGCTGCTTAAGAGGCTTGGGAGAGGTAAGGAGGAACCTGCAGTCATTCTCAAAGAAATAATCGCTAGAACACATCTGTCTCTTTAATTCCCTCTCAGGGAACCCGTTGGGAAGACATCCATGTTTAATTGTTTCTGGGCATTGCTACTGTTGCTGTTTAGTAGGAAGCAGGTTGGGATACTGTGAGATTCACTAAGTGTGCAGGCACTGTGCAGGCCACAGGCTTGATGTCACCCTGGGAGTGTGAAGGCTAGCTGAGGCCAGAGATTGGTCAGTCTGAAGGGAGCTGGTTAACAAAATGTGATACTTTCGCCCCAAAACCTTGGCAGCACAACAAAGGCCACCCATAATTAGATTCATTCCGAAAGGGGAGGCTTAAGGGCTCCCGCGAGGTCCAGTTTGGGATAGTAAGCCTGAAAGGGTAAGACCCAGGGCTCTGGGTTAATTCAGGTCAAGGACATGTTTACAGAGTGCCCAAGGCTGGCCTGCTGCCTGATTGAGGACCTGGGATTCCTCCATTCCTGTCTCCTCACTGGTGGATTCTGGCCGTCATTTTCCAAGCAGGCAGCTAGTTTAGGGGAAAGGGAGGCTGGAAATAAAGATGGGTGGAGGTCCTGATGGGAGGGATTGGGTTTAGCCAGAGGGAGTTGGGGCATGGGTCAAGGTGGAGAGGAAAGAAGTAAGGGAGGAAGATGTTAGACTCCAGGGTCAGGAAGCAGAGTTTCCTCTCTGGGTTGGAACACAGGAAACCCAGCCCTGAGCTTCCCAAGGTGCTTCCTGGAGATAAGGGAGACTCTTTCCTCTCCTGCCCCTCTTACATCCTGCCCTAACCCCTAGGGTACTCTAAGTTGCACCACTCAGTCACACCTTGGGAGGGGCTTGGAGGTCAGAGCCTACTGGGGTTTCACTTCTCCGAGCACGGAGGGGTCCACCCAGGCTTGAGGGTAGCAGGGAACAGACGCACAGAAGGGCGCTGGAGACTTAGCTCTGCCGGGTAAGCGGTTCTTTTGGGAGATTCTTTAGGGAGAAGGCTCTTCCTCAAGGGGTAGTGATGTGGGAGTGAGCCAGGTGGTCCACGGAGGACAATGCTGTGTGGTTGCGATTGGTCAGAGAGCCCTATATGGAGTCATGAAACATTTTGGGAAGGTGGTGGATTCGTGGGGGAGTGCAGGCTGTTGGGGGGGGGGAGACTAACCAATCACTGTTCTGTGTGGGGTGAGGGCATTTCTAAGGTGACCCAGGTGGTCAGGGGGTGGGATCTGGGGAGGCGCTATCGTGTATAGGACCAGGGCAGTCCAGGGTTATTCCTGGGATGCGCAGGAATAGCCAGTTTTGTGGGCGATCCAGGGTTGCTCACGGAGAGGGTAGGAGAGGCTGTGTCTGAGGGGATGCTTTCTGCCACTGGCAGAGTTCCCGGCCAGGCTGCTCCGCAAAAGCTGTCCAGTTTGTGCCGCCACCGATGAGTGGCTCTCTGGGGCCGTTAGGGAGTGAGGTGTAAGTCTAGGTATGCGGGACAATGCAGTGGAAGGCAGTAGACCCTAGTGAGAGTAGGGCAATTCATCCATTCAGGGGCTGCACCTTTCTGGGCCTTGGGAGCTGGGCCCCCCGTGCGTTGGGCACTTCCGAGGCAGCGCCGGGCTAAGGCTGGCACGCCACGCGGGCGGCGCCTGAGTTGGTTCACTCACAGCGCTCCCCTCCCCGCCCACTCGTCACCCCCTCCCGCGTTGCCACGACAACGTGTGAAACTAAAATTCAGTTCCCCGTCGCAGGTGGAGACTAGTGGCGCCCCCTCCCCTAAGCCTTTCCTCGTAGGTCGCGCCCCCAGCCTGCTGTCGCTAAGGTGACGGGGAGGGGGCGACCAACTGCAGGGTTGGGCCAGCCAAGGTGCGGGAGGCCGCAGAGTCCGGACAGACTCCCTAAACTCGGTTGAGGTGGGGGCCGAGAGGAACACCCTGGGCGCGGTTAGAAGGGTTGGTTTGGGGACGCTTCCGTGGACTGCAGCTCCACCCTGCTCGCGCCTGGGGTCTGCAGGTCTCCTACCCAGCACGGTGCCCTGGTGACCCCACTACCTCCTTGGGGTCTGGAATGGGGTCGGCAGACTGGGGAGATTTCTACCCCAGGACACCAATTTTCCTGCTTGTCTCTCCCTCTCAGTCGGCTTGTGGGTCCTCTTGCCCCGACGCGTCCCCCACCCAGCTCCAGAACCCTCCGTCACCCCAGTACGGTGGTCTGCGACGCTCGCCTGCAGCGGAAGCGCGGCGTGCCATCCCCCCGCTGTGTCAGCCACTCCCCCTCGACAGCCAACCCCCCCTCCCCGGCGCGGGCCCCCGGCCCCCGCCCTCTGCACCACACGCCCACGCCGCCCCGACCCCGCGGGGGACCCCAGTTTCCCGGCCCCGGGCTTCCCATCCCCGCCTCCGGCGCGGCCCCCTCCCCGCCTCCACTCCGCTCCGGGCTCGGGCCCCCCCTCCCCCCGCCGCCCCCGCCCCCGGGGAAGGCAGGCGCCGCTCGAAGCCGGGGCCGATGCAGCTAAACCGTGCCGCCGTCGCCGCCGCCGCTGCGCCTGCGGAGCCCCCGGAGCCGCTGTCCCCCGCGCTGGCCCCGGCCCTGGCCCCCCCAGGCCCCCTCCCGCGTAGCGCGGTCAGCGGGGCTCCGGCGGGGGGCCAGGGGGGGCCAGGGCGCCGCGCGGAGTCCCCGTGCGCTCCTCTCTCCGCCGGGAACAGTCCGGGCCCGGGCGCAAGCACCGGGATGGACGGCCCCGGGGCCAGCGCCGTGGTCGTGCGCGTCGGCATCCCGGACCTGCAACAAACGGTGAGCCTTTGCGATCTCGCCGTACCCCTGTGCGGCCCGCTAACGGTGACCCCCGCCGGGCGCGCCCTGCGCCAGGACCCCCGGCCGTGGCCACTCGCCCCTCCCCCGCCGCCTCCGCGGGACCCTCCCCATCGCCGGGGCGGGGCCCTGGAAGCCCAGCCCCGGGGCGGGGCCTCGGCCTCTCCGCGGTGGCGCGGGGTCCCTGCTCTCGCTCCCCAACTAGCCCTCCAAAGCGGGGCCCGGGGCGCGGTGCCCTGCGCCCGCAGGTCCGGGCTCACTACTCGCTCCGCTGCAGAAGTGCCTGCGTCTGGACCCAACCGCGCCCGTATGGGCCGCCAAGCAGCGTGTGCTCTGCGCCCTCAATCACAGCCTTCAGGACGCGCTCAACTACGGGCTATTCCAGCCTCCCTCCCGGGGTCGCGCCGGCAAGTTCCTGGATGAAGAGCGGCTCTTACAGGACTACCCGCCGAACCTGGACACGCCCCTGCCCTATCTGGAGGTGCTGGGCAGACCAGGGTGGGGGTGGCATGGAGCGCACAGGGTGTGATCTTTGAGCTCCTTGGTTGGAGCAGTGAAGGGCAGGCCGGGAGGAGTTGGCGACAGGAGCGGGGTGGGGGGTTGGGAGGTGGGCTGTGTGTAGCCTGAGCGGTGTGCTGAGAGGCCGAGGTGGGTACACCGAGGGCAGTGGGTAGGGTGAAGTACGAGCTGCCCATGTGTGGTTAAGTGGTGTGCTGCAGCTTAAAGCATGGAGAACGGTGGGAGCGCGGTGTGGAGAGAGCGCTTGCAGCAAGCAATATGGACAGCACACAGTGAGCACATGCAGCACGGGCACACTCAGCGTGTGTGGTGTGAGCAGTCCGAGCCCTGGAGGGAGAAGTGTGCGAAGGAGTGAGTGCGTGAGGGGTCATGTGGCGTGAACAGTGTCGCTTGTGTGCACGTTTGTCTCTTGCCTCTCACTCCCAAGTCTTCTGAGGTTAGCCCAAAATCTTGAACACCATTTATGACATGTAAAGGTGACTTGAGTGCCATTCCATAGGGACTGAGACTTTTAGTCCCAATAGGAAGGGTGTGTGTGTGTGTACACCAAGGTCAAAGTTGGTCTGACCCTCATGGGTAGCACTAGAATTGGGTAATTTCTACTTGGAGTGGAAGTGTCGAGGAAGAGAAGCTTAGTTTCAGATCTTTGGGAGAGCAGTAGAGTTTTCCAGGCACTGGCTGTGGAAATGAGTCAGGCAGGCTGTAGGCCCACCAGGCCTTGAGTTGGCCAAGTACTTCTCTGGACCGCACATTGTTTCTGTGTAGTAGGTGGTCGGTAGCTGTCGGTTCTTGTCTGTCCACTCTGAAAGTGTGTGTCTGGGACTTGTATGACTGTGGGCTACAGTGACAGTGTGGGCAGGAGGGAGGTGAGCAGTGAGCAGCACGGAGTGGTGGCCACCGCTTGCTCACACCGGCCCGTGTGGGTGCCTTCTCCCCACCTTTTCTTTATCTGAGCAGTTCCGATACAAGCGGAGAGTTTATGCCCAGAACCTCATAGATGACAAGCAGTTTGCAAAGCTACACACAAAGGTAAAGAGGCAGTCCCTGGAGGGGACTCACCGTGCATGACCACTGCCCCCAAACTACCTTGGTCCAGCCTGCTTTCCCTGAGGTGGATTTCAGGACTTGGTCTGGGACTGGAAACACACTCCATGGCCATGACTGGTCCAGCGATAGGTTGCAGTTTAATTAGATTTTGGCTGGTATAGGGGTGAGAGCCTTGTTAGAAGCTGGGGGTAGGGGGAAGGCGGGAAGAGGGTGGGAGAGGGAACCAAATAAGCATAGTGTGTTGGCTCTGAGGGCAAGTGGTTGAATGCCTATGTTCCCTAGTATAAGGAACACATAATTAGGTATCTCATTAATTCTCTTCTGGGAGGGATTTGCTACACATCTCACAGGTGAGGAGAGGGGTTGAGTCACCTACTGTGACTGCCCAGTAAAGCTGGCCCAGATCTGTCTGACTGTTTAGGTCCTGTGGCCTGGGTATACTTACTTGTCTAGTGTCTTTGCTTCTGGGACCTACTCCCTGTAGGGTCTGACTCCATTCACTGTTTGTTTTTTGTTTTTTTGAGGGGTGTACTAAACTCCTCCTCTGGGTGTCCAAGAGGCAAGGTGGGTGTTGTAGCCTCTTTCCAAATCCCCCAGCTCCCGTGGGCCAATGGGAATTGGTTTGTGGGATATTTCTTTGTTTGTCTCTGGAGTTTAGGGAAAGGTCTTTGTGACCCTATCTGTGGTCTTAGATCCTCAGGCTTCCGTGGCAGACTTTTCTGCTCCCCCAGAGCAGGTGACAGTCAGTGGCCATGGCTCTTTGCTGGGTAGAGACCATGTCAGAGAGGTCTCTGTCTCCATCCATTGGCCCTTGTGTGACCCAGGCATCCTGGGTTCTGCAGCTCTTTTCAGAAAGCCATTTGGTTTTAGGATGGACCTGAACTTCTAACTGCAGCCCTATTCCTTGGCTTGCCTGGGCTCCAGCTATCCCTATGCACTCTGTTACCTTGGGGCTGGCTAAGGTCTTCCTAGAGGATTTGCATAGTTTCTTCTATGGTTTCATCACCCTGACCCATGATACTGGTCCACGAGGCATTCTTTCCTGTCTATGGGACATGCTGCTTGTAGATGCCTGGGCTGGGACCCCTTGCCCTGTGTGGCTGATACCCGTGCCACCAGACAAGCCAGTGAAGCTTTGCAGGGCAAAGGAATAGGAGGCATGTCATGTCATGTGTGTGCCAGGGGTAAGATGGGGCAGAGGAATAAGACCAGAGTTGTAAGGATTTGACACCTGTCAGAATGGCCTCAGTGTTCTTTTAGGCTGAGAGAAGGGACTCAGCTGGGGTCCATGACTTGGGTGGCCAGGCTGGGATGGGAGTGGCCAGGTTCAGGCTGACAGCTGTTGAGGGTTTACAGAGAAGGCCTCGAAAGCACATGGGTCCAGCCAAGGTGAGATGAAACTTGAGGTAAGACTATGGGGTTGAGGATGAGCAAGCTGGGTGACAGGTTAGTCATATTGGGGTTAGGGACAGTGTATGCCTTACAGGTGGTCTGGAGCTTGCTGGAGGAAGGGGGTGATGGTAAGATGACCCTAGCCATGGCACCCAGCTGACTGGGATGGCTGATGTTCTAGGCAAACCTGAAGAAGTTCATGGACTATGTCCAGCTACACAGCACAGACAAGGTGGCCCGCCTGCTGGACAAGGGGCTGGACCCCAATTTTCATGACCCTGACTCAGGAGGTAAGGAGAAGAATGGGGAGGGGCTGTATTTTTGACTGGCTGGGACCCTAACCTTTATTTATGTCCAAACCCAGAGTGCCCTCTGAGCCTTGCTGCACAGTTGGACAATGCCACTGACCTTCTGAAGGTTCTTCGCAATGGCGGTGCTCATCTGGACTTCCGAACCCGAGATGGGCTAACAGCCGTCCACTGTGCTACCCGCCAGCGCAACGCAGGGGCATTGACGGTTAGTGAGGGCAGGACCCTGGTCTGGAGGGACTCAATGCAGAAAGCTGGGCTTGGCCATGGATTCTGAGGTGCCTTACCCTCAGACCCTGCTGGACCTGGGGGCTTCACCTGACTACAAGGACAGCCGCGGCCTGACGCCCCTGTACCATAGTGCCCTAGGGGGCGGGGATGCCCTCTGCTGCGAGCTGCTTCTCCATGATCACGCACAGCTGGGGACCACTGATGAGAATGGTTGGCAAGAGATCCATCAGGTGAGCAGGGAGCTTAGGCTGGGTCCAGGCTGTATACAGGTGACCCTGGCCTCTGTCTGGGATGGTTCAATTCCTCTTTTCTCCTCAGGCCTGCCGCTTTGGGCATGTGCAGCACTTGGAGCACCTGCTATTCTATGGGGCCAACATGGGTGCCCAGAATGCCTCGGGAAACACAGCCCTGCACATCTGTGCCCTCTACAACCAGGTACACCATGAGAGGGTCCCACTGTGGTAAAGAGTGACTCCATGTGTGGATGTGCCTGAACATAGGTTACTGTACATCCCAGCTAGTATGGGATGTCTGTACTCTATGTGTATGTTCTGTGCCCAGTCTGGTTACTGGGTCGTAGTTACTGGGTGGCCTACTTAAAACACATCTGTTCTCTGAGCGCATGTATGTGTCAATATGTCCCCATGTATGTTCTTAACAAACTAGCTTTCGGATGAGAGCTACTTGTGTAATTCTACCTAGCCTAGGTGTGCACTGAAGAGGTGTGAGTTTGTGTGTGAGTGATCCTTGGGCCCTGTACACCACGTGTGTCCCCGCCATGGCCTGGCCCTCCCTTTCCTGCTGCCCAGTGTGATTGATGGCTTATGCCTCCCAACAGGAGAGTTGTGCGCGCGTCCTGCTTTTCCGTGGTGCCAACAAGGACGTCCGCAATTACAACAGCCAGACAGCCTTCCAGGTACAGGCTGAGATGGGGGGGGGGTTGCTTACGAGTCCCTATTGCCACTTGACTTTGAATCTTGACTCTTCTTCAGAAGGCAAAATGGGAGTGCTTACTCTCAGGACTGCCACCCAAGGGGGAGCTAGGAGTAGGCTAGTGTGGTGCCCAGAATTTGAGGGAGTGTTTGGTGTGGCGGTTCCTCCTGTCATGGAAAAACATCCTACGACTCCAGAACTCTGGGAAAGAGACAAATGGAGAGGGCAGAGAGACAGGTGTGGTGGGCCTGATTTCCCCAGAGGCAGGCAGGGGTGCAGGGAAGAAAGCTGAGAAGGGTGTGTTCTCTACTACATCGGACTGGATCCAGGTTATAGTTCTGAGCCTTTTGTCTGCCAGGCTGGTTGGCACTGGCTGTCCAGCTAGCTGTCATCTCTGTGGCCTGGAGTTTTGGAGGAGCTGAAGGTGCTACGGGGATGAAAGCAGCAGGGGAGGGGGGTGTCTGTTATTCTTAGGTGGAGCAGAGGCCCCTGAGGATATCAGAAAGGTGAGGTGCTATCGCCATGTCTGGGAGTGTGAGGCAGAGGATGAAGGTTTGAACACACCCAGATGTAGATACGTCAGGGACTATTAGATGTCCAGATTTGGGGGATTCAGGAAGAATGAGGGCTGAAAGACATGGGGCTGCGACTGAGAGAGGAATTGTGCCTGCATATAGGGGCAGATTGAACGTTCTACTAGTGCGAACAGATCTGTTCATGTTTTAACTCTAAGCCTTGTGTCCCAGAAGTACCTCAGGACTTAGGCAGATGACGGTAGTGGACCAACCCTAGTTACCGGCATCCTTGTCTCTTGTCTTTAAGAAGTGATGTCCCAGTAGACATTGTGGCTGTGACTTGAGAGTGGCTTTGGGAGGACATGCTCCACGGAGGATTCCAGGAGGAGCAGCTGGGGTGGGGGTCAAATCTGGGTTCCTGAGTCTCCTTCCTTGCCCTTCATGTCTTCCCGTCTCTGTCCCAGGTGGCCATTATTGCAGGGAACTTTGAACTTGCTGAGGTAATCAAGACCCACAAAGACTCGGATGTCGGTGAGTTCTGTCCCACTCACAGGTCCTTCTTCGTGCTGTGCTTGTCATAGGCAGAGGTGGTGTAACAGGACCCCCATACGTCAAGACTGTTGCCACCTAGTGACCTCTGCTGACACAGGGAATGAGATCAAAAATGGCCTGTTAAAAATGGCCTGTGTGGGCTGAACAGAATTCTTGGTCAGGGCCTAGAGCAGGTCTGGGTTCTGGGCTGGGATAACCTAGGTCAGCAGTTAGATCAGGGATTGTGCTTCCCACTAAGTGCTAAGAAGGATCTTCTGGGACCATAGGGCGGCAGATCTCACTCCAGCCTGGAACATTACTGGGTTTAAGCTTCCTATGGCTTTCCATGTGACAATATCCTATGAACATACATGACGAGAAAAAAAATCACAAAGGTTAGGATGAAGACTGAAGTGGGAATAGGTTGGTGGATGGTGACTTGGCCAGCAGGTTTGAGCTCCCAGGAGGCAGTGCTTAAAACAGGCTTGGCATCTGTGTAAGTCCTAGCAGGAGGGTCAGAAGCTGCATGGATAGCTTTAGCTTCAAGTCAGGGAGGCAGAAGGGTCCAGCCCATTTCTGTGTACATGTGCGTGTGCGAGTGCAACTGTGTGTGTGCGAGTGTGTGTGCATGTGTGCGTGTGTGCGTGTGTGTGTGTGTGTGTGTGTGTGTGTGTATGCGCGCACTTCCAGAGCCAGGCTGGTTCTTACTGAGTACAGGTGACTAAGTGTGCAGGGTACTGTGGGCCCCTCCTCCAATAAAGGGCTGCTGTCTAGCTTCAGCAAAGCCTTCTAGCTGTAGGGATCTCTTAATGTTCTGGCTTTTCTGCCTGTGACTCTTTCTGGAACATAGAGCCCCAGGCTTCCCTTTCTTCTCTGAGTATTACTTGAAGTGTCCCCATTTTTTGGTTTCAATTTTCAGGGACATTGGGCAGCAAAAGGCTGGGGGATGGCATTAAGCTTAGAATGTTCCTCCGTTCTCCGTCAGTCTGGCCCGGAGGTTCATTTTTGGATGGGGTTAAGATTCAGGTCAGTTTCATGTTTAGGGCTCTTCCCTGAGCTGCTCTCTGATAATAAGGCTTGGTTATGAACCCTTGAACCTTGCCAGGTGGGGCCATAGTGATGGTTGAACTGAACGGGAGTGGCTTTCACAAGAGAGCTGAGTGAGTTCATGATCCATGGTACAAGGCTGGGCCCAGGTTCATGTAGAAAGAGCAGGACATAGTTTCTGGGTTGATATAGGGGCAAGATATAGGTACAGTTTGATTGGGGGTGAAAGTATTAGAGACAGCGTTTGCTAGGATCACCCTGTTTGTGGATATTCGAGGTCTTGTTTTACCTGATTGTCTATCTTGAGAGAACTGTTAACAGCTGCGACGCCTCACCATGTCATATGTGAAATAAAGTGTCTTAGAGTTCTCAGAGTCTTCGTTCGCCTTGGTCTCCTGTAGGGTTTGATCCTGGAAGGGTATGGATTTTAGGACGTGGCCTGTTTGTAACTGTTCCCCCCCACCCAAGGGATGAAGAGCTTGTATAGTGTCTAGCATGAGGAGTGGAAATATTTCTCTTCATTCTAGGAATCTAGGGGTCACCAGCTGAAGCTCACTGACCGTTTTACCCAAGTGTGCTGGCTCAGTTGGGGTTAGGCACATTGTTGCTGAGCAGAGTGGGCATGTGTATGGTCTGGTCCTGATGTAGGCATCTGCTCTCATTGCTACACAGGATCACACGTTTTGATGTTACAATGTTACAAGTCCATCCTTGTTAAGTGTCTATTGTTGTGGTAAAACACCATGATCAAAAGCAACTTGGGAAGAAAAGGGTTTATTTCAGCTTACAGTCCATCATGAAGGGAAGTCACGGAAGGAACCTAGAGGCAGGAATTGAAGCAGAGGCCATGGAGGAGTTCTGCTTCCTGGCTTGCTCCTCATGGCTTGCTCAGCCTGCTTTCTTATATAATCCAGAACTACCTGCCCAGGGGTGGCACCACCCATAGTGGGTTGGGCTCTTCCACATCAATCATCATCACCATCATCACCACCGTCACCACCGTCATCACCATCATCATCACCATCATCACCATCCCATTGCCCCAGACTTGCCTATAGGCCAGTTTGATGGGGGCATTTTCTCAATTGAAGTTTCTTCTTCCTAGATGACCCTGGCTTGTGTAAAGTTGTCATAAAAACTTAGACAGCATATAACCAGTCGTCCCTGGGTGGGATGATTTACTTTGAACTTTCTTATCTCAGTTTACCTTCCCAATATCCTTTTGTGAAACTGATTATTGGGCCTCTTTGCAGAGAAGGAAACCGAATTTCAGAGGGTTAGTGACAAAACATATCCTTAGACGTGGGGACTCAGGTCTGTCATCTGCACATCTGCCCACTGCCATGTGCACAAATTCACTCCAAGGACATTTCTTAAGTGACAGTTGTGAGTTACTTTGTCTCACTCTGGTCTTTGGGCAGAAGCCCGCACATGGAGGGCTGTGTGGAAGTCTCTGTCTCTCCATCCTCTGCTTCCTTCCGCAGGGTAGTGTATGGTAGGCACTAATGTCATGCTTCAAAAGACAGGACACATCCTGTATCTTGGCACTTCTCTTTAGGGATCAACAGACCTTGGGCAGGACTCTGTCCCATCAGTGGCTTTCTCTGCTTCCTGTTTTGGTCACTGGGCTATCCTCTTTCAAGCAAGGATGTGTGCACACGAAAACATTCTATGTATATATGTTCTCACGGACTGTCTATCTCATTTTTGGTAAGTGCCTCTGGAAACGCACCTCATGGTGACATCACCTGGAGAGCTTGTTTAGGGTAGGTTCTGAGTCTGGGCCTGGATGGAGCCTGTGTTTCTACACTGGTCGTCAGCTCGAGGAGAAGCTTGCTCTGCTGATCCTGCCTCTACTTTTTAATAGACAAAGCTAGCAGGTAGTGCTGCAGGCCCCAGCCTGCCCACCGTGTAGTTTTTGTTTTTAAATTAAAGTGAAATGTTCCTTACCTAAAACTGATTACTCTTACTGACAATCCAGGGGCATTCCTTACATTTACAACCTTGTATGCCAGTTTTGTCGAATCCCCAAATATTTCCATTGCTCCAAAGAATATCTCAGATATGTTAGGTAATTTTTCTGTGTTACCCTCTTCTACTTACCTGTCAGCTGAGAACATAATCTCTCTTTGCATTTACCTGTTACCGCTGTTCCATATCAACGGGATTACAATACCACTCTCTGTGTTCGGCATCTTTTACTCTTTGTCTTTTTGAGCTTCATCTGCCTTGTAAAGTCATGTCCCTTCCTTCTACCTTAAGGCTAAAAAACATTCTATTGTCTTTGTGCATTGTATTTGGCTTATTTATTGTTGGTTGGATATATAGGTTGTTTTGACATTAAAACATACTGTGTGTGTGTTCTCACATGCACATACCTGCTTGTCTGTATATGGGCATCACATGCATAATACAGGTACCTTTGGGGCCAGAAGAGGATATTCGATTCCCTGGTACTAGAGATACAGTTGGTTGTGAGCTGCCCAGTTGGGTACTGGGAACCAAACCTATGTCCCTTTGCAACAGCAGCATCCACTCTTTCTTTAAAAATTATTTTTATTTTATGCGTATGAGTACACTGTAGCTATCTTCAGACACACCAGAAGAGGGCATCGGATCCCATTACAGATGGTTGAGAGCCGCCATATGAGTGCTGGGAATTGAACTCAGGACCTCTAGGAGAGCAGTCAGTGCTCTTAACCTTTGAGCCATCTTTCCAGGCCCCTTTTGTTTTCTTTGAAACAGGGTTTCTCTGTGCAGTCCTGGGTGTCCTGGAACTAGCTCTGTAAACCAAGCTGGCCTCAAACTCACTGAGATCCACCTACCTTTTTCTCCTGAGTGGGACAGCACCGCCAGGCTGAACGGTGTACCCTCTTAACAGCTGGGCCATCTCTCTAGCTGGTTCCTGTTTGTTGATATTTGAATTTGTTATTACCATCACAAACATGTTTGTATGTGTATTTATATGAATACTTGTTTACACTTCTTTTGGTTTTATCCCAAGGAGTGGAATTACTAGGTGATATGATAGTTCTTACAGTTTTGAGGAACTTCCAAACTGTTTCCCAACTTCTATCAAACTTCTATCAGCTGTGCATGAGCTTCTAACTTTTTAACTTCTTTACATTCTTTCTGAATGAAGTCTGTCTGGTGCTTTTTTTTTTTTTTAATTGTAGTTATTCTGTTGGAAATGGTGTGATATTTCATTGTGGTTTTGTGGTCTCCTAATGCCCAGTGATATTAAGCTTGTTTACGTGAGTTTGGTGTACATTTGTGTGTCTTTGGAGAAAAATGAAGGCCTTTTCTAACTTAAAAGGCATTTTACTTATTGTTGGATTATGAGATTTTTTTTTTTGTTTTGTTTTTCGAGACAGGGTTTCTCTGTATATCTCTGGCTGTCCTGTAACTCACTCTGTAGACCAGGCTGGCCTCGAACTCAGAAATCCGCCTGCCTCTGCCTCCCAAGTGCTGGGATTAAAGGTGTGCGCCACCACTGCTTGGCTTAGAAATTCTTTATATATTTTGAATATACAATGAATATAGGGCCAGCAAGATGGCTTAGTGGTTAAAGGAGCCTGCTGCCAAGACTGGCACCTAGATCAGTCCCTGGGAAACTGACATGGTGGAAGGACTTTCACATGTGGGCCATGGAACATGCATGTGTTCGTATATATACATACACAAATAAATAGATGTAACAAATTAAGAAAAAAATATATTTTTGGCAGGGTTTCATTATAGCCCAGGCTGGGATCAAACTCTTGACAGTTCTTCTGCCTTAGCCTCTGAGAATAGGGATTACAAGAAAGAGCTCCTGTACACTGCTCTGTTTCTTGGCCAGATTCATTTTGACTTCTGGTCTCAGGTGATCTCCTGACTTAGTCTCTTGAGTAGTAAGGAAGCACTTGTCTTCATAGACACAAAAACCTGCTTGTTTTTATTTTTATTAAAAT